CCACATGCATTAGACCTCTCAGCCACTAAATTTGTTGATGCCAAAATGAATAGTGCCCTTAAATGCAAATTTTTCCCTGTCTCTCGAAATAGACATATCTGCTTGGTTTCATATCCTAAGAGAAACAAAGCAATTTCTGAAGAAGTAATGGATTTTTATTTATTAATCCAACAGATTTTATTACTTAAGCATTATTTTCATGAATACCCATATTTGAGTAGATGCTTTGCTTATTAAATAGTACATTTATTTATTTTTGTCTTCCACCCTGAATATATATATATATATATATATACACACACATACATATACATATATATATATACAAATACACACACACACACACACACACACATATATATATATTTATTTTCTACATGTGAAAGTACTTGATGTAATTTTCAATTGACAAATGAATACAATAGTATTTTCTAAATTCTTCTAGTTGCTAAGGACATTTTGTTTGTTGTTAATAGTTACTTTGTTTTCAATAAATTCATTTCGTTTTTGCCTTGAAAATGTCCACATTGGACAAAATGTGTCGGCTAATAATACAGATAACATAGATTGATATATATTTATTAATCCATGCATATATTTCTTCCTACTTACATGTACATATAAGGGGATACTTAAAAGTTCCTGACATAACCATAATCCAAATGTTTGGTCATTTGGTCAGATTTATGAATCTGTCTGGGCAAATAACATTTTAACCCCAGTTGCATCCAGACGAAAAAGTTTCACTTATTACTTTCACTTATTATTTGTCCAATAAAAATAAGCTTTTCTGTAACTTATTTTGCTGTTAATTTAAATCAAAAACTATAAATTTTATTATTTTATATTCTACTTAAAAATAGAGAAAAAATCTGCTTAAATGCCAAAATCTCTGCTCATTGCTACATCCCTTCCTATTTATAAAATTTACTTGCCGTACCCATAATAATTTTTCAGTTGTTTTATGTCTTTTTATTTTTTGATGAGTCATAATTTTTTATCTAATGATTGTTTCTTGAAATTCCCATGACTTTAAAATACCCATGGAAATTCCAGTAATGCATCATTAAATATTTAAACTTAACAACTTTAGCAAAATATTGCAATAATAATCATAATTATGGACATAGGTCATTATTTAAATAGGTTACAAATGAAAAGATTAAAAAGTTCATAAGATTTCATCACATATTTACATGTATTTATAATACTAATGTTTGCCTTTCATAAGATAAACCATAAATATGTATATACACGTTTTTTTTATTATTTCATCCCAAGCAAGGCAATAAAGCCACTAAGATGCAAGTGGTTACTGAGTGTAAAAGACTATGAAAAAAAAAGATTATTAAGAAGAAAGAACAATAATAGAACAGAAATTAAGAAGACAGAAGATAATGATTGACATTTCACTTAAATTTTTGAAGTTCAAAGTTGACCAGAAAGCAAAAAACTGGAAGACAGCTTCACATGTGAGAAGTGAAAGAGAAGAAACTGTCAGCATAGAATATATAGTTACATTTAACCAATTCAACAGTAGAATGATGAGACCTTATAGCCAATCTAGTATTGTACTTAAAGTCTAGGTACCATAGAGGAAAGTTCATCAGAACAATTACTATGAAAATAAAGTAAAACAAAATATATACAAATTTATCTATCATTAAGTTAACACTTATTTACATGCAATATTCTTAGTAATAGTTCTCTTTTTCCTTCTCCCTTGTTTGTTGCTATCCAATATTTTAAATCTGAGATCAGGTAATCTTCTTTCTTATTATTATGTATGCTGCTTTTTCTCACTAAATCCAGATAGTCTCTTTTTCTTCTCTCTCTCCTCAAAATCAAGACAGAATGGTCCATTATTTATCTGAGGTAATGGCAGAGCATAGTCAACATTCAAAGGAAGAAACATTTAGAATTATAATTTGATATAATTACTTATAAATGTTAATTATCATTATCCTTCATTACTCTGAATTATTATTAAACTACCATCACTAAAAGTGATGAAGAGCCTTGTGTATGTTCACCTGTGCAGATCACATTATATTCTAGTTTTTGAACACACATGCAAATTAGCGATAGAACCATGTATGTGCTTTACCTAAATTGCAAATGGTGACTCCAACTAGACAGGTGAGACATTATAGTTAGGTTGGAATTCCTTGGTCCTATTTTATTACAAGAATGTCAGCTTCCTAGAATTGCAATAAAAATCACATAACCTATCAGTAATAAAAGCCCCTACAAATGACAAATTTAAGAAAATATCTTTTAAGGAATATATTTTTTAATGGTAACAGTTTTGGTCTCTTTAGTCAGAGTCATTATCTGCAAACACTCAGTTTCTTCTTGTTTCTTTTTTCATGAGATTATTTGCCAGTATCAGGCACAGGAGCCTTCAGGAAAAATTGCTGCAACAGCTGAACAATATATAGGAGTTGAAAAATGAAGAAGCTGAGCAAGAATTTAAAAAAATATTAAAGTAAAAATAGTTGAATTGTCAAAAATATTTTAAAATGTTCTTACATTGTGAAAAATAAACCACTTCATAAGACAAGGTTCTCCAAATTGAATAGGCAAAAATATATCATCCTTATAGTTTCAGAAATGGTTTGAAAATATCCTTCAGCCAATTATGATATAATACAAGAATTAAATTTACACTTGTGAATCATCAGTAGAGAGAATAAATAAGTGCTATGTATAGTTGGTCTATTCCCTTGGAAAGCCAATGATTGAATCTGCTGGCATCTGGTTCAGGAAAAATGACTTATTTATTCATACCTTGAATAGTGAAAAATTTGATTTCTTTTTTTTTAATTAAACATGTTCTTGTCTCTTCCTTTCTAATCTTTCTAGAGATTTTGTTCTGTACAAAACATTTTTTCACTGATGGGAAATTATGTCAAGTGCCCTTTATGTCTAATATATGAGTGGCAAGGGAAAGATGCTTGCAATTGAAAGTGAAAAGTTACATTGCAAATAACACTATTAATTTGTTAAAAGCATATCATTAGTACACAACACAAGATGGTGTATGCTTGGTGCAAATCAAGGTTGGGTGGCGAAGTGCAAAAAGAAAATATTGATTTGCCAAAATTCTTGTAATTTTATTTAATTTGCCATAAAGATATTTTTTTCTTTCTAATTTTTGAAAATATGGTTTTATTTGAGAAATTGATCAACATTTAAGTAGATTTATCTTTTTAACTACAAAATTCCATACTTCAGAAACAGTAAAAAATATAAAGCACAAATTTTAAAAAATAAATAAAGATATGTTGTCATTAGTAAGCCTCATATCAACTGAGTGTTTGTCATTCATTTCAATGGTGAGGAATAGGATAACTGCTAATTTCAAAGGAGCTACAAAGATTGTAATCAATACACTAAGATCTTAAAAAAATGTTTAATTGAACCTTTATTACCTCTGCATCTATTTCAAATTTTTCTTCATTTTTTTTATTCACATAAGTTTTGTGAAACTCTTTCAAAATTTTTAGGTCTCATTTTCTTTGTAAATGATTAAATGGCAAAAGAAAAAAACATGGAACTAAAAAAGGAGCTCATTTAAGAATTATTTGAAAACAAAAATTGAACAAGATATTTTAGAAATAAAGAAATGCAAAAGAGTTATGTGGAAACTGCTTCAATGAAAAGGAGTGTAGTTAAAAAAGCTGATATGGACATTTTTAAAAGATTCACTTTATTATAAATCACTTTGGTGTTAACTTTTTGTCTTATGTTTTTATTTTTGTGTTACTCTTTTAAAAGTATTTTCTATTTTCAACATTTTCCCCTGATTATAAAAGATTCTCTTACTTGCCATTCATTCATAGCAAAAATATTGCCAAATTAAGAAAATGATGCAATGAAATTCACAATTTTGATAACAATAAAAATAGTATCTCTTATTCATAATTGAATAAGAAATGATAGTAAATGGAAAAAGAATAAAAGTATTACAGATAATTTAGTAGCTCATTGACAGTAACTCCAATAATTGCTTTCTTACTTATCTTTTCAGGATGTTTGAACAAATAATATACAAATTTATTTTTTAATCAAAAAATAGGCTGAAGATTAAAGTTTAAAAAGAAAACAATATTATATTGGAAACAATATAAATATTCTATATGAACTTATATGAACAATATGAATATGCCCATATGTGATATAAAATAAGTTTATTCGAGTATATGTATTTTGAAATACATATATAAATACATATATTTATATATGCATGTATCTATGCAGGTGTCAATTTGCATCTATTCATACACACATTTTCATTAGATATGTTTTTTAAGTTCAGTTATATGTATGTAAATAATCAATATAAACTTAAGATGAAAAAGTATTTATTATACAGAACAAATATTTATTTTTAGATTAACATTACTGGCCTCTACTTGGAGCAATAAGAATGTATAATTACTCACCAAATGTAACAGAAGAATCGTGATGAAATCAATCATAAATGAAAATGACATGTTCATCATTAATTAACTATTGCTAAGGATTGGAAGATCATGAAAGATTGAAATAAAGTTGTAATACAAACAAACCTCTCATCTACAGTTCCACCCATCAACAGACTTCAGATGCAATGGACAAAATCTGCAGGCAAAATAAAAAAAATCTGCAGAAAAAAAAACTTCCAAATCATTCCGCTAAGCCCACAAATTTTGAAATACATATATGTATATGTATTAGTATTTAAATTATTTTGGTTTAGAATTATATATATATATAAATATATATATATATATATATATATATATATATATATATATAAAATTATTGTCTATAATTTATTACTGAATGCATATTTGTACTATAGGAACTGTTTATTTATAAAGACATAAATAATGACAATGGCAGTTGTGAAGAGCCATGATCAGCAACATCCTGAAGGGACATGCCACACAGAAGAAGTAATGTCAAATTTTGACATTAAGAAATTCATATAAAGAATGCTTTTGTAATAATTTTCATGAGAAAGGAATGATAAGATGAAACAGAAAAGAGGGTTTGATTGACAGTGGTTGAATGTTAATAAAAAAGGAAGGAAGGAAGGAAGGAAGGAAGGAAGGAAGTAAGGAAAGAAGGAAGGAAGGAAAGAAGGAAGGCAGGAAGGAAAGAAGGAAGGAAGGTTTGAGTTGAAAACAAAGCAGGAACCTGAAAAAGAAATATAGAATAAATGAAGGTGAATTGAATGAAAGAGAAGAAGAAATGAGAAATCAATAGAGATTATGGAGGAAAGATTAAAAAGAGAGAGAGAGAGAAGGGTGTGAGAGAGGGTCTGAGAGTCTGAGAGAGAAAATAAAAAGTGAAAATTAAAAACTAGGGGAAAAAAGAAAATTAAAAGAAAGAAAGAAAATGAAAAGAAAAGAAAATTGTTCAACTTTGGTAAATTAGTGATACAAAGATTGTTGAATCCTGGATATTGGCCAGAGTGAGTAAATTAATGGTTATCAGTGATCTGTAAATTTCATCTGCCAATGCAATCAATCAGTGGTAAAAATATTTTTATGTCAATAACTTACAGGAAGATTTTTTTTTTCTGTAAATGTTGTAAAAGGAAATCAAAGAAGACAACAGACATCAGTGGCAATGTTAGTTATTGAGTGAACATCATTTTTGCAATAAAGATGCTAAGATTTCAAAATCACTGATTTGTTAAATATTTCGGAATGTATTTGTTATTTGTTACTGAGAATCAACAAAGTAAGTTGAGAAAATAAAGTAATACTCATTAGAAATTGAATCTTTATATCAGGACATAACTTTTCTTTGGAACACCAAGTGAAATTAATGGCTTGTTGATTCTTTCATTGAAAGAATAGACTAGGAATATTTGGCAATCTTAGACCTACGTGTCTGCGAAAACAAAAAAAAAAAATAATGTCAAAAGGACAGTTTTTCCCTTGACACTGCTAACTACCTTTACTCATCAGAAATATTTATCGTTTTAAAAAGTAATGATTATAATTTTAATAAAACCTAAACTTATGAAAGTGAATTCATACATTTTCTTTGTTCTTGAGAATTTACAATAAAAATAATGATTTTATTAGAATAAAACAATTTGGATGAAGACAAATTCTAAAGAATTCAACGTAGAGTTGTGGTTGTAATCAGTTAAACTATTATGCACTGATTGATTGAAATGGTTGTTTTCATCTTGGTTATTATGCTCACAAATTTATGCATTGCATTCTTTGTTGTTCTACAGGTACCTCTCATATTTTCTGTACGCTTACAAGATATGGACTCTGTATGGTCAGTACATCAAATGTTTGGAGCAGTTCCAGGAAATAGAGCTCCAAAGAATCCTTCACATCAGTTGGGAGGACCACATCAACAATGAGATACTCTCGCAGACATCCCTCCTCAATATCAGTGTTTGTGTGTATGGGTGTATGTGTGTGTATATATATATATATATATATATATATATATGTGTGAAAAGTGTATATAAATATAAATAAATATATATATATATAATTATTTATATATTATATGTTTATATATGTATGAGTCCCGACGGATGACCAAGTATGTATATGTATCTGCATACATCGATGCTTGCGTTAGTACGATGAATGACAAAATGACGAAATTTCCCTCACCACTTCCACAATAACACCAATACACGCAATCTACATAAACCCAAATTTTTTAAAACATTAATCAGTTTGTCTGACGATTGCTAAAGCATGAAACCCAGGGTCACAAACTCACATCTATCCAACCAAATATATATATATATATATATAAACATATTACAACAAAAACATGTAAGAATCAATACACAATTACAATTTAAATATGACAAGGACATGTAGATACTTATATGAACCCTGTTTTCTGTGTTTGCATGAAAAATTGGAAATTATTGGGTTCATTGATAAGAATTCTTTATTAAATCAAAGATTCAAATTAATGGTAAATTGTAAACACCTTTTACCTTACAATTCAGTTAAACTTTAGAATTTGACAATGTTTTTTCTCAAATTTTAGTTGAGCTGTGTTGCACCATATATGGCTTATCTTTCTATTTGTACAATTAATTTGGGTTTAATTTAGTTCTGTATTGATCTCCTGGTAGTAGTATTAACATGTTATACTGATGTATTGGTATTTGGTTAGTATTTTTGACATTTTACATTGATTGGTTGATATTATTAACATCTTATATGGATGATATTTATTTAACAGTTGCATATTATTTACCAAATAATTCTGTGTCTAGATTATTTACTAGTTTTTTTAAAGAGGCCTCTTATTTGTCTACTACAAAAAAATTTTATGTAGGAAATCCACAAAGCTTATAGTTTAGCATTCAGTTTAATTTACCTCTCTACCCACCCTGCTTTTATTTCTTATGACGGTTAACTGTCTGGCATATGTACATTTATTGTAACCATTTGTATCAGTCATTAAGTTAATGTCTGGCTGCTGTTAGATGACAAATCATGGCTATGAAACATTTCTAAGATAATAATTTCTAATTTTTTTCTTTTTCACTTAGTTTGAATTTAACATAGGTCAGATTCGATTGGTTGATCAGGGTAAAGCCCTCAAGCCTTATATATTTTTCTTTTTCAAAAAATGAGGATGTATTTTGCTTTTGAAATCAAATTAATTGTTCACTTGACAGTAATTTACAATCAACTGAAGAGACATATCATTATATGTTGAAAAACGACTGCCATTGTGTTGCGATTCTTACATGTTTTGTTGTAATATCCTAAAATAAATAATATTACTCTACTATGTATTGAGCCCTCTTTTAAGTTAAATGTTACTAATGTTCTCATTATACCTGGATATATATATATATATATATATTAAGAAATGGACAAAGTCCGACAATTTTATTTATTAAAGACATTTTTATGTTTAACATTCTTTTTTATAGATACAAGTATTTAAGTAAATGCTCTGTTTATAATAAACAGTATTAAAAACATTTACCAGCCTGAATGTCCGAGAAATTTTCATAGAAAATATTCGTCCTTTGACAGGATTAAAACCTGCATCCTATACGAAACCGTCATTTACGCTGACGTGCCTTGACCGCTCGGCCACAAAGGATCGTTCGGTTGGCAAGGTCAAATTTACTGCTTATAAACTTCAATCTTCCATGAATCTCGTACATTCATAACTGCTCATGGCGCATCAAATGTAAACAAATTACGTCATATATTAAGAAATGCACAAAGTCCGACAATTTTATTTATTAAAGACATTTTTATGTTTAACGTTCTTTTTTTATAGATACAAGGTTTTAAGTAAATGCTCTGTTTATAATAAACAGTATTAAATAACATTTACCGGCCTGAATGTCCGAGAAATTTTCATAGAAAATATTTGTCCTTTTATCACACATATAGTGCTAGTGTTAATAAAACAGTGCTTGATGTATTATAACTTATTGGTAGCATGATTCAGAGTTTCATGAAACTTTGTGTTGTGCTATGCAGGTATCTACTAAAATTATTAAAATTTGTTTTTGAATTTTGTATATGGAACTGGGCAGCTATGTCTTTTTGGAGAATCTGAATAAGGAGATGTTGCTCTAAGACAAACAGAGACTTCATTAGGCTGAGAGGGCTCTTTGTGGCTTAGTAGTATAAAGCACACCAGATCAGATGTTAATTTCTGTTATGAAGGAGGATGCAGGGTTGAACCCTGCCTGAGTTCAAATTTTCTTTAATAGGTTTCCTTAAATGCAAAGGCCAGTAGACAAAATAAACACTGTCTAAAAAGGAATAGACTATCTAATCAAATAAAGGCATCCACTAAAAATAACTTTTGAAGTCATAAAAAACTCATATATATATATATATATATATATATATATATATATGAAAAGTGTATATAAATATAAATAAATATATATATGTATAATTATTTATATATTATATGCGTGATTACTTTATTAGAAAGCGCTCAATATCAGAGATAGAGCTAACATATTTGGTTGGATAGATGTGAGTTTGTGACCCTGGGTTTAGTGATCATCAGACAAACTGATTAATTTTTTAAAAAATTTGGGTTTATGTAGATTGCGTGTATTGGTGTTATTGTGGAAATGGTGGGGGAAACTTTGTCGCTTATGTCAGCATACTAACGCAAACATTGATATATGCAGACACATATACATACTTGGTTGTCCGTCAGGACTCATACATATATAAACATATGTGGGCAGTTTCGGATATGACATATGCATGTATACAGGTGGTGTTGTGTCTATACATACGTATTTGTATGTTGAAATTTAAAGACTGGAAGTGTGGCAAAAATGTCTTGTGAATGTCTCGTGATTGTATACATGTCATATTATATTTTTTTTTTTTTTCCTGCTGAATAATATTTCCTCACATGTATGTATATACGTGTGGTTGGATTTGTGTAAAATTATGATAGGTAAAAATTATTATTATTTATATTTATTTTTGAATTTTTGAAAAAAAAAAAAATTAAAAAATGGGGTTTATTTATATATATATATATATATATATATATATATATATATATATATATGCAGAGTTCACTAAAATAAGTATACACACTTCAGGAAAGGAAATACACACTTCAGGAAAGGAAAAACATGTATAAATTTTGTAACAATAAATATATTAAGACATCACAAGATTAATACAAGTTACCCTTTGGACACTACAATCACAAGAGATGCTCAAAATGGTGGCCTTTATCTTCCAGACATTTATTAGTATGCTAAACTACTGCTTGAGCAATGTTGGCCAAAGTGTCCAGTGAAATTGCTGCACATACATTTTGAATTTCTTGTCTAAGGGACTCCAATGTAGTCAGTTTTCTGTGATATACAACATCCTTTTGGACTTGTTGATGCTACAGTCATGGGGGTAATGCCATTTGTAAAGAAAATGCTACATTAAACAGTGTTATTGCAATTTTATAAAACTACAAAAGACAAGTTTTTCCTTTCCTGAAGTGTGTATACATTTTTTGGGCAAACTCTGTATACACAGACACGCAGACATATCTCTCTCTCTCTCTCTCTCTCTCTATATATATATATATATATATATATTCATAAAAAGTGAAACATATGTAATTGTGGACTCCCTGATCAGAATAGATTATCCACACAGATGATTTGATTATAGCCATGAAAGCATTCACAGAACCAGCCCCATTTTTTGAATGGACTGATAATGGAGAAATGGTGACCAGTGTGCCATGAAGTCTCAAAACAGCTCTCTTCAGATTTGAATTCAGAGTTTTACTTCTTTTAGACTGGCTGCCAACCAAGGCAAGAAAAACTACTCTGACTTGTTATTTAACCCAAGGCTGGATGGAGAGATATGCATGCCTTTTTTCAAGAGCATTAACACAAAGTAAATGAAACAGAGTCAACCAGAATTTTAATTTGGATCAATAATTTCCTTTTCAGTGGCAATAGCTGTTACCCTAACCACACATCCTAAATACCTAAATAAACAAATAAAAATAGTAGTCAAGTATAACAAATGAAATCTAGCATTATGTTTGTTATGCTGATGAAAACAACTTTTTTTGTTAATGCTGAATAAAGACTAATAAAAAAGGATCACTTTCATTATCTAAATTGTAAAAATAAATGTTTTTCTTATTCAGGCATTTCGGAAACTTGGAACTGTTTTTGTAACTTGTTGGCATTTCACTTGAATAAAATGAAGAAATGCTAAGGATTTTTCATTATGCATTTTGCAAACTGCTAAACATTTACCTTCCTACATTCAGTTCACTTGCATTTTTTCTGTTGTAAAAAGACGATCTGAAAAATTAAAACCATCTTAAAATGCTTAATGATGATCCTGAATGATATTTCAAGTTAAATTCTAACAAGAGATTATCTCAAGTGATTTATTTTTGTGCTTCACTTATAGATTCACATTCTCAGTTGTTTTTTTTTTCTTAAGTTAAAAAGAAGCACTCTGATAAAAATATGAGGAAATAGGAGTTTTGAACCTTACTTGAAGATATTTTTTTCTATTTTTGCACTTAGTTTGGAAGTCAGATGAAAATGAAAGTGAAACAACAAAAATGGGGAGAAGAAGTGGAGAAGGAGGACTTGAAAATATGAGAAAGAGCTGTAGGAGAAAATGTGTAAAAATAGTAGATTTTCAAGGAGGAAGAGAGAAGAAAAGAAGAGAAGTGAGGGATTAGGGGATGAATAGTAAAGGAAGAAGAAGAAGAAATTGAAGAAAAAAAAGAACAGGAACAATGACAGCAGTAAAAAGGAAGAAATGTCAAAAAAATGAAAGAAAAAGTAGTACCATGAAGAGGAGAAAGAGATGAGTGGTGGGAGGAGGAGATAATACTGAAGTCTTTGGTGTAGTATTAGTAGTAGTAGTACTAGTAGTAGTATTAGTAGTAGAAGAAGAAGACTGGGAAGGGCCATCAAAAGAGTAAGGGTAAATGTTAAGTAATATAGATGAGTCAAATAAAAAAAGTTGTGAGATAAAAATAGAACAGAACTAACAAGTTCTATGACCTTTGACCTTGTGATCTCTTACAGTGTCATCTTTATCTACTGTTGAGAATAGAGAGAGGAACAAGGAGAAAAGGGAGAGAGAAGGAGGGAGGGAAAGAGAAAGAAATGAAACAAGGAGAGAGAAAAGGGGAGAAGAAAGATAAGAGACAGAAGAGAAAATGGCATAAACAAAGAAGAAGAAAAAAAGAGAATACCCAACAACAAAAACTTATAGAAAATTTAAAAAACTAACAAAACAAAAAAAACTCAGGCAACAAAATAAATAAACAAACAAATAAATAAAAACAAAACTGAAAGTTTAGTTGAAATGCAAGCAATTCTTTCATCATTATCTAAAATGTCTTTGATTAATCCCAATCAGTACCAAAGGCTATTGAAAAAAAAAAGTATTTAGTTTCCATTCTTTCTGCATCTATTGTTTCTGTTTGTGTCTCAATCCTTAGGCCTCACAACAAACTTGAAAGTTAATAAGGTTAAGCATTAAACAAAAAAAGAAAAGAAAAAAGTAAATTAAAAAAAAAAAAACAAGTAATTGTAATAACTCTAATTTGAAGGGTTAGATTTGAAAGTTTTCATCCAGGCAAATATCACACAGAGGGGTGCTTGAATTTGAAAAATAGCTCAAGGTGCCCTCAAACCAGAATGAATTTCTCTTTTTTTTATATCATTTTCTTTTATTTATTTCAAATATTCTGATTCTAATGTCAAAATGTAAGTTAAATGTTAGTTGATATTTTAGCTTTTGTTCATTTCTTTTTGTTCTTATTTTAACACTCATTCCTTATACATTGGATTCCTTTTTTTAATGCTGCATCCAAACGAAAATTTACCAAGTGTAGTAGCGGTTGTATCCATTTGGACATGCAAATAGTAAGACTTACAGTAAGAAGTTATATTCATGAGTGGTTCCCAGCTGCATATATACGTACTTTAATCCAGTTTAAATTCAGTGTTTCCTTCTCCTAAACTAGTTGCCACATAAGGCTATAGGACCCAGTTTGTCCTGCTATTTTATCCATAGCTGGGGGAGAAGAGATGGATCCATACCTTTCCCACGGTTATTAGCACATGAGTGAATGTAATGAAATTGACTGAAACTTGAACTCAGCTCTTCAGTTAATCAGTCTGAGTTGTTAACCATTACCCCACTGTGCCTCTGAAACAGAGGCACTGATTGGAAACATGTATGAAATATGCTTGAACAGAATCATATTTTCATGTCTGCATTTTGAGATAAGTTCTGATCATTTATTTAGTAATTTGTGTTGGTAGTTATTTCTTCTCCAGGAAGAGTTTACAGATTTTAGATTTATTGTTGTTGGCTGATGCTGTTTTCATTATTTTCCATGATATTTTGGTGCAATTTGATTTTTGTTTTTAATTTCTAATATATGCTGTTTGCATATTTATTATTTGTAAAGGGTGTTTTATGTGGGTAATTTCCTTGTTTCCAGGCTCCTTCAGTTACTCCTAAGTATATTTCTTCTTCATTATCTGCTAATTTTACAGTGGCTTGGTATATTAAATTGTTATGTAAGCAATTACTATTTAAAGGACATTCATTCTTTACTTTGCAGTTAAGGTTGGTTTGTATTATGCTGGTGATTTTTCTGTTGTGCTTTTTCATTATTAGTGTCATGCTCTCAGTAGAACTGTAGATGATTTTTATTGTATTTCTATTGACTACCTTGTGAAGAGTGCTAGATAAGGGGAAGTTTTTGTATATGAGTGTAATAATTATTTTTCCTATGTTTGCTTTTACATTTTTGTTGAGTGAGTTAAACCTTATGATATTTCTTTTCCTGTTGAATTTTTTCTGCTGTGTATGTGGGTGTTTTTGGCTTCATAGAAGTTGGTTTCATTGGAAGAATAATAATGTTATCACCACCTTCCCAGACTAACACAAATTGGTAAATGATCAGAACTTATCTCAAAATGCAGACAAATTTTTATATAAACACAAGTAAACACAACAAATAAAATTAAGTCATCAATAATAAATAATGAATAAAATATTAACAACACTATAAAATAGGCAAAAATAACCTCATTTTGATCCACAATTCTTCTTACTCATTAGACTGTAAAATAATTTGAAACATAACTGTTACTGCCTACCCAATACAATAGATAATACAATAGACCTTACTGCCCATAATGCACCATTAACCAGCATATATAAATATCCGTACCAAAACACAGCTCACATGATGTGAAGATTTTGTTCAAGTATGAAACAGACTGTTGCCACTTCATGTTGACCTCAGTGTCCACTTATATATGTGTGTGTGTGTGTGTGTGTGTGTGTGTGTGTATATATATATATATATATATATATATATATATATATATATATAGACACACACATTCACACATATATGAATGGAACTTAACCTGCTAAAAAGCCATAAAATACTTTGAAATAAGCCATCTAGATAATCTTAAAGAATCGAAAGCAAAGACAAAGAGCTGATCAAACATACTAAGTGCTTTGTATAACAATCTTCTCTCATGTCCTGTGGACTGGCCTGTAAATCATTGGTTGGATTAAAGTCTCATCTGAGATATAAACATTACAAGTAAAAAGTTAAGCTGTTGGCCAGGCATATGTCAAAAGTGATGGCAGAGTCCATTATATATATATATATATATATATATATATATATATATATATATATAAAAATAGGGGTGTTGAAAATTCCTTGCTCTAGGAAGAGATTTTTCAAAAGTCATGATATTTAAGTGGATCAGGTCAAGAACTTTTGTACACATATATATGTATATACACATGTATATCTATGAAGACATGGCTGTGTGGTTAGAATGTTCACTTTCTGACTATGAGACACAGGTTTGAATTTCACCAGGGTCAATTTGTCAGAGACTTCTTGTTGTGGTAGGATCCACCTAATTTGCATAGTGGAGTACCGACCATATAAATATGGTTGGTACCGGGAAGACGAGGGTAGGAATCAAGAGATTCAATCCAGAGACTCTGCCCGACTGCGACTAAGTCAACCCATTCTCCAGGAACGGTCTTCCAAAGAATATACAAAAGACTATATGTAAATATTGTGTACACTTTCTTGTTTCAATACATTTTGTTCTAAGTACATTTTGTGTTGTATTATTATTCCATGCATTAGTCAAGTTTCAACACTTCTTGATATTATTGGTCTGGAAGAGGCAATCCCAGTGTGCAGCACCAGTGTGCCTGAAAACCATACCATGGATTGATTCAAGCCTTGTGAATGAAATTGGGTAGATGGAACCATTGGGGAGCGATTGGTAGTTGTGCTAGCATGAAGTCACAAGTCATCGTGACTGAGGGTTTGAGGATGCTGGCTTTTTTTCAGACTATATAATGCAATCTCTCCCAGAAATTGTAACTAATGTTCACTCAGCATAATTGTAGTATAAACCACATGTAGGCTCTGTGGGTGTTGAACAAGCACAAATGTGCCTGAGTAGGCGTCTGCAATGGGGATTAGTTGTTATTTACTTGTTATTTTGGGGGGATACTCATATTTGAGTCAACACTCCATTTATTTTAAGTAGTATATTTATTTTCACCAAGTGAATTAACATTTAAATTGCTAAAATTTGTTGGATTAAGAAATAAAAAATCCATCACTTCTTTTTATATATATATATATATATATATATATATATATATATATATATATATATATATATATATATATATATATATATTGATTACTAAATAAAGTTTCAATCAGCACATGAAAATTGCGTTGCACTACCAGTGAGGGAAAAAATAAATTTTCTTATAATAATTTTTCTTAACACATAACATGCATATGTATGTATGTGTCTGTCTGTGTTACTTTTACTTATGCAATGTCTATTTCTATCTTAGATACATACATTCACAAATATATATATATATATATATATATATATATATATATATATATATAGTTTATGAAAACTAGGTAATCCGTGTATGGGTAAACCTAAGGAGGATAAAATCCAGAGAGCTCAATGTAAATCCAGAGCAAATAATTCAAATAAAAACAGACCACTTTAAGGTTCCATGTCATAAATTATTTCACAGCCCTTTTAAAGGACTGCGGATCATCAGACTTTACTTTCCGCAGTCCTTTAAAAGGGCTGTGGTGAAATAATTTATTACATGGAACCTTAAAGTGGTCTGTTTTATTTAAATTATATATATATATATCTATATCTATATATATATATATATATATATATATATATATATATATATATATATTCTACTTATATATGATGTATCCTTTCAGATTTTGGGTGACCATGACTTCAACTTCAAAGTAAATATAAAATTAAGTTCAAATTTTTAGCTCTTAGTAAATTTTATCTTTTTACTATCTCTCCTAATCCCTGTTCTACCAACCATTTGTACCAGATCATTGCATAGGTTATTCACTGCTTTAGCATCAAATAAAATGTTTACCTATCTTTCCCTACATTTAATTTCATGGAGTCTTCATCTACATGTCAGGGGCCCTTGATTATAAAATATCAAGGCCCCTGATGAGTGTGTATATAGATATATGTAAATATGAGATGTTTACATATCTCAGGTATCTAAAAATATACTTTTCTGGGTTTAATTCAATTGCTTAACATCAGATATTTTGAAATATCAACACAAATGAAATAAGACTTGAAATGGTCTAGTACAATATCTACTGTTTTTATTTATATATCTGATTGAATTTTTAGCCTTCATGCCCACAAAAAATGTTGTGTCAAAAGGACATTTTCTTCCAATGGCACCACTATTATTTTAACTACCTTCACTCCTTTGCAATGTCTCTTGTTTTAAAAAGCAATAATTAGAATTGTAATAAAACCTAAACATATGGAAATGAATTCATACATTTTCTTTGTTCTTGAGAACTGACAACAAAAATATTAATCATTTTTTATTTATTAGATTGTTTATTTACAAGAATAATTTCAGATTTGTAACATTCTAAAATACAATTGTAACAAAATCCATTCAATGAAATATTTATCATTTACCAATTTATAAAAAATTAAAAATTAAAACAATTTTTATTCATAAATTTGTGAATCAATTATAAGGAAATTTTATTATTTATTGTCTTGAATCAATTGGCAATTAGCTGATGTTTTACCAACCATTCCAATAAACAATATATGTAAATTTTGTAACTAATCAATCTAATAAATAAATAGTGTTTATTATTTTTTTAATTCCTAAGGGCAAAGAAAACATATAAGTTCATTTTCATATGTTTAGGTTTTATTAAAATTCTAATCATCACTTTTTTTTAAACAATAAACATTGCCAAGGAGTGAAGGTAGTTAAAATAATAGTGGTGTCAAGGGAAAAACTGTCCTTTCAACATTCCATTTTTTTTTTGCACATATGATGGTCAAAGATTACTGGAGTTCATTTCATAAATACAGACTAAAAGAAAAGAAGCTTCTTAATTTAAAAAAATGAAAACTGTTTATATTTTAATATTTATATTGTTTTTTTTATTATAATGATATAAATACAATCCTTCATGCTTAAATTGTCTTCTCTCATACCAGAATGTGTGTTACATGTACAAATGTTATTTATACTTGAATAACAGTTAGACTAAGAGCATATCTGTTGGATTTTATTTACTTTAGACTAGTTTCTGGGGGTCATAGCAAGTTTCAAGTCTAAAGAAAAGTGAAAAGTATATAATAATGAGTGGGTGTTTAATTAAGTAATCATTAACAAAAAAGAAGTGAAGAAAAGGAAATTTGAATATTCATTTTCTTTGTGCTGTTGGTCAGTAAAATGAAAGGGAAATTTAGAACAATTCAAGAATCATGAGACCAAC